TATGTGTCCACACTTCAGGTCACATATTCTCATTTCAGGTTACATATGGTATGTGTCCACACTTCAGATCACATATTCTCATTTCAAATTACATATTCACAAATCAGGCAACTTTTTCATACGGCATGTCAGACATTACTGGTCACGACACACAAGTCATAGATCTGGTATCAAGTTACAGATATGGTCCAAATCTCAGAGAATTATTATTCTGACTCCAAAGTTGATAGACAATTAACTGTAAGTTGATCAATTTGAATGCATTATTTAAAAAGACTATTTAAAATGAACATTATCCTTAAAAGAATATCACCTATCTATGTAATATTTGTATGGAATTCTATCGATCATTTTAGCGTAATGGAGCCAAGTTGGAGCATCTCCTACAGTTGTGACCCTGTCCTCTACAACGTCCGCATTTTGTCGTCGGTCTCCCTTCTCTAGATGATCTCTTTCTTTTCTCCGTAAGTCTTCCACAACTCCTCTTTTGGTTAGGACATAACACTATTTCTCGTTGTACTTCTTCTGGCAATGTCCATTCCTCTTGATTTCCAACTGGATATACAGAATCTTGGTATGCATTCAAGTACCCATCTCTTGTGTAATAATAGGAATAGTAATCATATGGATCTCTTCTTGTGTTTGCAATTACAGCCAAAACGTGTGGACACGGTAACAAATCAACTTGTAGAATCCTGTAAGTGCATGTTCGTTGCTCAATATCGACGACAAACGTTGACCTTTCGTTGCAGACAAAAAACACTGTCTGGTTTGAAGGAGATACCTGCATGTATATAACAACAGTCAGGTCACATGTAGTTGAATATAGGTCACGTATACTCCAACATGTCGGTCATGCATGAATGACTTATATCCTTGAGTTCATTCACAGATTCAGGAAGCATGTTACATATGCGGTCCATACCTCATTTGGCAGATAGATATGCATCAAAATACAGAGTTGACAGAGAATACACAGTTACATCACATACCACATCACTTAGGTCACAGATTTATATATCAGGTTACACAAATTTGTTCCATTCACAGAAAGCTATGAAACAGAATATAGAGCTTAAAACTTAATTTACCAACTAGGTCACAGAATCACAAAACAGGTCACATCAGATTTGATACATTACAGTTCAAGATACTGACACTTACATTGAGTCACATATGCATCTCAATGTTAAAATATAAAAAATTATCCTCAAGTTTCTTAAATCCATGCTCATTTTCCTAATCTCTTTCTCATACTTGCTCGACAACTTTGTGAAAGTTCCATGTGCATCATCCCTTTGTCTACAAAACCACGATTGTATGGTTTGCCGTAATGACTCTAGGAGGGAAACAATAGGATAATTTTTGGCTGCCTTTGTGACCGCGTTGACCGACTCCACAATGTTTAATGTCATTATAGAATACCTGTTTGTTGGCATATGTATTCGTGACCATTTTTCAAGTCCAATATCAGCCTGCAAACTTAAATCAATCATTAAGTTCATTATGTAAATACCATATGTGATCATTTATATGTATGTGAAATGAAATAAGACTAATTACACTACCAGGTAAGAAATTATCTTCTCATTCATCATAGTCAGCAGAGGCATGTTATAACAATATTCTTCTAGCGTGTAAGCGCGGACAGCCGAATTGAATGCTTGTGTAATGTTTTGGCCTGACTTTTCATAATATGATTTTAGATTTTGCAACAAATGATAAGAACAAATACCGTGACAGGCTCCCAGATACACATGTTCTATTGCATTTTTTATACTGGGGTGACGGTCCGACACAAAACACAGCCCTTCTCTGTTTCCATACGCTTTCTTCATCTTAGCGAAAAACCATCTCCAAGATTTGTCGTTCTCATTGTCTCCAATTCCAAAAGCAAAAATGAATATACTATTATTTGCATCTTGTGTACATGCTGTGAAAAGTGTACCTCCATATTTACCATTCAAGTAAGTACCATCAACAACAATCACCGATCTACAATGCTCCCATCCCCGTATTAATGCACCTAGTTCCATAAAGTAATATCTGAACTTACTGTGACTATCAACCTCTATTTCTATGATTGTACCAGGATTTTTCTGTCAGAGCATGTAGAAGAAGCTTGGCAACTTACCAAATGACTCGGCTGGATCACCCCTAATCATTTTCAAAGTTTGCTCACGAGATCTCCAAGCTTTTGAATAACTCAAATAAACCCCATAAGTATTCAACATGTCACTACATATGTCCTTTGGTGTATATATAGTACGGGACAATGTGTACTTATACTTAATTGTAGATGACACAACCTTAGATGACACTTGCCTATGTCACCCCAATACTACATTTGATGCACATTTGTGACTACCAATCTTTTGAATCTTAAATAGATCTGTTTTGTCCCATATCGACAATCTACATATCCAACTACATCCACCATTCGAACACCACACAACATATTCTCTCTTGTCAGACCGTTCAACCATAAACTCAAACATGCTCTGTATGGCAAAAAATAAAAGACTCATTTTCAAAACATCCTTATCACGGAACATCCTTCCTTCTTCTACCTCTCTAGCATCCACGATACACACAACTGTGACTTCAGTATCATGAATGTGACCCATTTTTTCATTTGATGCTTCGCATGTATCTAATGTTATGTCTTGCAATGTAAACATCTCACCGCTGGAATGCACATTGACTGGCACTGTGATGGATGTATTATCTATTTCTGCTTTAGCAACGTCAATGATTATCGGATATTTAGCAGGTTCACGCTCCATGTCCTTTAACAGAACGTATGATAGTACATTATTGTGATTTTTAATCCTGATGGAAGGCAAATCTTCCTTTAATATAAACTTCAATGACACAGCTACCTTCGTAGGATCCAGAGCAAATTCTGTCATCACTGTTTCCACAAAGGTTAAATAACTGCAGTTGCGATCTACCAACGCCAATGAGGATTGCATTCTATACAGTAAACATACGT